CCCCCCCCAGCTTTCTTTCTCTCACTCTTTTTCAATCTCTCTGAAGTCATTGTATTTGTCTTCAGAGTCTGTGATTATGACTGCTTTCAAGGAAAAGGCTCAAGGAGGGCAAAGATTCTTTAATCTTGGCTGATGCACAGTTGCTTGTCACTAGTGGGCTTGTAGTGTTGATGCTGTTATTTTGTACATGTCATAAAAGCTTAGTTCAGGATCTTTGAACTCCTGGTTGTACAATTAATTTAGAAGTAATGAAATACTGCTGCAGTCCAACATAGAGTTTTAAGCTGTATAAAATTTAATATGTGTATAAAACTGTGTCACAGTTCTATATTGCTGCTTCTGCATTGGTGCTTTTATGATCTCATAAATTGGGAAATCAGAGCTGTTATTCAGGTGAAATAAATAAGATAGGGACATTTTTTGGAGATAGTGACTTAATACTGCTGCTACATGTTAAATTAACCATTTACTATCTTTCTCCAGGGTGTTTGCTTCAGGTTTTCAAGTGATAAAAAGGAAGCCGAGATTGTCCTGACTTGTGTTTTCATGGCATGTACATGACTTAATCAGCTGAATCAAAATGTAGAAGAAAGGAGTTAAACATGTTGCTACCATATTTTGGGGCTTTTAACCTACTTTACATAACATCTGGTAGTGACATACTCTAACTGAATAAGTCATGTACATGGCCATGAAAACATGTGAGAAGGAACAATTTTACTTCAGGTTAGTCTGGAGATGGGCTGAGAAATCACAGTAATAGATTTCCCTGTAATAGGTTAAAAACCCCCCAAACTTATTACTCTGACTTCTTAGCCCAATTAGAGATGCCTAAAAATGATTCTTGTTTCAGTTGATGTGAATAACTGTATGGGAATTATAAAGCAGTTACTTGTTTGGAATTTACATTTTTGTGAAAGCCAAGAGGCATTAGAAACATACCCTCTCTCTGAAATAACTCCGCACCAGTATCTGGACAAAACAAGCAGAGTAAATTTTCAGAACTTCTGGCCTTGGTAAAGCCATGGTGTTCTGATGCAGCAGAATGGGTCTGATACCACATGCCCAGAGACACCAGTGAGATCAGGCATGGTTTGACCAAATGTCTGTGCTGCTGCCTCCTGACGTCCTAGCTCATGGAGATGTTCCTTGGCTTCTCATTGGCCCTGGTCGTATGTGCAGGTGCAGGTTTCAGGAGTAATTTTTTTCTAATCAAGCAGTCATTGCTTTCTGGAGAGAGGGAGGGTGAACTGGGCACCCCTCTGTGGGTGGCTGTTACAAGGGGGGTGATTCCCTGTTTATTGGTGGTTTCAGCATGTCCCTTCTATCTGCTTTTTTCCTTTTTCTCAGGCTTCCCTTTTCTACACTACTATATATGCTTTTTTATATTTTCTGGGTAATATAAAATATGTAGGTGTGCAATGAAATGAATTAACACTGAGTTGTGTGAGAATTTTCATTTCACTCTTGAGTACTTCTTTCACATGAACTGAAAATCTTACTTGCTCTAAAAAGTAAAAGATGAAGTAAAACATACTGGATGCTGAGTTAGGATCTCTAATTTTCCGTGTATCAGAGTTAAATAACGTACAAACATTTCTTTAGACGTCTAGGTTTCCCCAAGACAGAATATCAAATAAAATGTGATTTTAACCTTCTTGCAGTTAGAAATGCAATGACCAGCCTCAATAATTCAGGGATTATTTGAGGAGTAACGTGAGGTTTATTAAGACTAAGTCCTCTACATAGCTCTTTGTAGTAGACTGCAGTTCTTATTGTAAAATATATATATATATATATATATAACAAATGCCAGCTAAGGCAGGAGGTGAGAATGGCCTGCACAGCCTCTGCCTCATGTATGGTTTGGCCTGTGAAACTGTCTGGGATCCCACAAGAGTAAATCTGATGTATGCCCACAGAGTTACTGTTGAAGAAGGGATGATATCTTTGTAATTTTCTGGCTGTTGAACAGTTTGCATCCTAAACTATCATTTTATGTAACTTTGTTGTGGGAAAATGTGTTCACATTGAAAATAGACACATGAATCCTGTAACGTGAAGGGATTCATGAGGTGACGGCAGTATTCCACCCCAAGCAGTAGGTGAATTCTGTGAGATGCCCTGTGCTTTTCATTATTTAAGGCACAAATCCATTTCTTAACTATAATGCTGAACAGCTGTGAGACACACTTGTTCGCTAGTTTCTGGGGAGAAGTTTCACCTGACCAAGTAATGCAGGACTGGGCCTAGAATTGCTGCCAAAGTAGAGTGTGAAATACAAAGAACGTATGTAAAATTGCAGTTGTGGTGGTATTATGCTATCCTTTTGGATTTTGTAAACCTCAAGGAAAAACTTATTAATAAGGGTATTGAATATTTCTACTGCTTCTTGCTTTGGTTATAGATTTTTGCCTGTAAAATTGTTAAATGTACTCGTCATTCTAAAAGCTGGGCAACGAAGAAAGATTCATGTGCTCCAGTTTGGAAAACTACTTAGCCACTTCTTGTTTGGGTGTTTTTTTTCCCCCTTTCTCAGTCAGGAACTGTATTATGTTCTGATGGTGAATGTGTTAATTTAAAAAAAATAATTTAGTATTTACTCATATTAAGTGGTAAAACTTAAAACAAACCTTGAGCATTACATGAATCGGTGTAAGAACCACGATCACTCTTCCAGATTCACAAATCCTTTAGTTTAATGTAAAAAAACCCTCCCACTTTTCCAATGTCCCATGATACTGGTGTCCTTCTCAATTTGCTGTTACCTCGGTAAAGTCTTTCAAAGCCTCACTGAGATAGACGCCATGAGGGAACTCCCGTCAAGTTTAAAAAAAAATCATTTTCAATTTCTGGGCTGAAAGCTATCATTTTGCCTGTGAATGCAAAACATTTCTGTTAAACCTGGAGTTTATTTTCTAAAACAAAGAATATGGCTAACGGCTGGGGTGGCTCTCACTGTTGGAAGTATTACAGCTTATGTCCTACATAAGGCATTGCAAAACTCACTTTATTGGATATAAGTTACACTTCTCTCTGTAAGTGCAAGAAAACTTCAATAATTCTCTCATGTGACTTCAGTTTTCTTTCCCTGGATAATGATACCTGTGATTTTTGTCTGGGAGGTTCACAAGGGACTTCCTTCAGGGGATTTCTTGTTATCCTTGAATCTGAAGGCAAGTAGTTAGGTAAATCTGCAGACCAGAGTTCAAGCTGACTGCTTGAAAAATATGCTGACTTGGTTTCTTTTAAATTCTTGATTTTTTTCTGTGCGTGGAAAAATAATTTGGATGTAAAAATCTGCTTCCCTTGAGGGATGTTTTTTTTGTTTGTTTTTTTTTGATTTTTAAGTGAAGTGGGTGAAGCAGGAAGGCAGAAAGCGGCTGTTGTATGCTCATGCAAGTCAGTAACTCATTGCAGATGAGTATTGTGTTTTTTCTTAGGCATCAGAAACATGCAATTTTCTGGAGGATGTGCTTTTGTTTGCCTAAAAGTTATGGATTGGATATGAGAATCATGTGGAGAAACTTGCTAGTCTACGTCCTGTTTAGCAGAACAGCTACTTAGGCCCTTTCTGGCATCAAAGTCTGAATTTGTGTTGCTGTGAAGAGTATTAAATCTTCCAACGGAGAAAACAAAATCTCAAAAGAAGAAATATTGACGTATATATTTAAAATAACTTCTCGGTATTTCTGTAGAAGCTCTATATAGTAGAGCATAAAGAATGTCCTCAGCCATGGTATGTAACTGCAAATGGAAGTAGTTCTGCAGTAGTGCAGTAAGAGAAACAACAGGAGTTAATGTGGATGAGGAAATGAGATTAGTCCTCCTAGAAGAACAAGATAAAAAATGGGTCCATTCAAAGCAAAGATGGGAATATGGAGATGTCCTGTTTCACCTGATGTGGTAGTCCTGGAGGAAGGGAAAAGTCTCTCAAAAGAAGTGTATTTCTGACATGTTAGACTCTCACGGATTTGAGACACCCCCATTGCTTGTGTAGCTCAGCAAATCTCTGTTCATGTATGGAGGTTTGAAGCCATGAAATAGTTGGATAAAATTCACCTGTTAATATCAGTAAGTGGCAATGAAAGAGCCACCCAAGAACTCTAACAAAAAGTGTGTCTTTTAGCTGAATTAAGCTCTGGATCTAAATTTGGAGTATGGCTTACTTGTTTCAGTGGAGAAATGAGCATTTAGTGCCAAATTCCCTTGAACTTCAGGGAAGTTCAAACCTTTCTCTCCTTTAAGTCATGCAGTTGTAAAATTTTATGAGTAATAATATAAGAAGGATTAGCAGTATGAGTATGGAGCTTACAAGAATGATAAAAGATTTTATTCTTGCCTCTTAGTC